ATGATAGATGTATAAAGACCCAGATAACCTTAACTGTTACCATTATCTAAATATACTACTCAGTGCAGCGGGCTATAATTTTACTTTATTCAAATTATGTAAACATTTTGTATTTGTTAGTCTCATTGAAAAATAAGAACAAAATTGGACCCTGAACATGGGATGTTTAAAAAACCCACCTAACTAAAGTCTGCAATTGCATTTTTTTTCAAGCATACAGCCATTACATCATTTAAACATACAAAGCCACCTGTAAACTTGCAAATTTTAGACTTCTATTAAAAAATAAGATATCTTCAGTCACTTGGGAATTCTTTAAAAAAAAATCTCTTCTGCACTCTGAGCACTGACACAGTCACACTCATTCTAAATGACGTTTTTCTTGTATGGCAACTTAAAAATGTCTGTAATAACCACAATATTCTTTGATGTTGTTTTCTTAATGGTCAGAAAAATTATGATTGTTTTGGATAGAAGACTAAGATTCAGAACATAACTAAAATAGACAGGTTTCCTCTAATTACATACAAACCTAAACTTTATTTACCAGGACTGTGCTATACAGAAAAATTACCAATTTTAATCACTATTAATATGAAAAATTTCAGGCACTGTCAGAATACTGAAGTTCATACTTTCACCTTTTGGAACCTTCTACATGTCTGCATTAAATGGAGGATTCTGCATCTGTCTGAATGCTTGTGTTCAAAGCCAAGTTTTTGAAATCTTTCCAAATCAATGATGAAACTCTGTAGTTTCCCAGGTTGGCGTCACACGCTCAAAATTATTTCTGTAGGGACTTTTTTTTTTTCTTTGCTATGGATGAAGGTCAGTGGTTCAGTGGAAAGATCAGCTTGTACAGGTTGCATATGCCCCATCTGTAAATTAACTGAGGTAAAAAATGAGAAAATGTTTACCTCATCTTATATTACTTAAATGCAAAGTCATTCATTAATTCTCAGCTAAGACTCGTTCATGTGCATGTGGGCTATTTCGTTTATTTTTGTTCAAATTTCCATCAGACTGAGGAAGAGAAAAAAAATACGCAAGCAGTATCCTTGAAATCTCCACATTTATTTGAGGTTAAAAACATGAGCATTTCTTTGCCTTAGTCCCTTCATTCTAAATTACACTTCCTTCATTTGCAAAAGAACTGCATGTTGGTTTTATTTAAAGGTAAACCAAAAACTTCTGACAGGCAAGATTTTTCCATTACCACTTTTAATCCACCTCACCCAAACTTTAAGGTATTTGTATGCTTGAGCACATGCCTATTATCTTTCTCTTAAGGAACTCAAAAAACTGACAGACGTGACTGAAATTCCCAAGCCTGTATTATCATCTTCAGAGGGAGTTTGAAGAGCAGGAACCTCTCCCCGCTGGTAGACAGAGCCTAAAAAGACTGAGCACCTAATTTAATTGGTTCAGTTATCAATCTGCAGTTCGGTGTCATGAATATCCCCTTATTGTTTTAAATCATATTACCTCATTTCTCATACTGAGGATGCTGACATGCTATGACTGTTCTGAAAGTCCTCAAAATTGCATCGAAAATATAAAGCTGATGTTTTACTTCAAAATTATCCTTGAGGGAAGAAATAACCAAACCAAACCACACCAAACTCAAAAATGGAATATTCTGACAAAAAAGTTTCAACAAAACTCCCAGTGAGATTGAATTGAAACCCCACAATTTTGTAATTCCCTAATCTGAATGAAGTGTTTATAGTCTGCTGCCCATGCTGCTGTTCTGACCTCCTGCAAATCTTGGCAGGTAAACACCTTTTAAAGTTCTGGGGAGCTTCATTTGTCCTCTGTCACCCTATTCTTTTTCAATGTAGGAAAAAACCTCCATCCAACATGTGAAGAATCAGCAATCAGGGAATTATACTTCAGTGAGACTCCCTTTTACCTAGATGAGGAATAATGTGTCCCAAAATGCAAAGGTGGATGGGGCTCCACAGTATTTTGCTGTAAATCTCTGCCCACAATTATTTGTGGTCAAACCCGAGTCTCTACAGCTATTTCCAGTTGCAGTGTTTTAAATGAATGACATTCCTGTTCCAGATACAGCACCATAATACTCTGGCAAAATGCATTGGCTACGCGGAACAAATAATGCTGGAACTCTCACTACTAGATTTCAGCACTAACTCCTCACTTACAGAAGTTTATAAACTCAAATCTGCAGCTTTCTTCCAGGTGTACCCGGGGTATTTTATGTGTGGATTTCAGCTGGCAGCACATGCACTTCAGGTTCAGGAACACTTCTTCAAAAAAGGGGTCCTCGTATGCCAGCATGTGAGCTTTGTCCTGGCTGTGTGGCCCACTTTGCTATGCTGTTGTCAGGGGGAGGTCTATATTCTGCAGCTGGAGAGCCAGATGGTCACATAGCCTCAACCACCACCGTCAGAGTCACCAGTTACGTCTGGATTTCCAGTCAATTTCAAGTTAATATTTCTCACAGGAATCTTGGTTTTGCTACCAGACACAGGTCATAGCACCTCTTGCCAGAGACACCATATTTAGGATTGAACCAGGACTTAAATTGATTAGATGAAGTTTAACTTTGCTTTGCATCCAAAAGCCCTGTGTGAAACAAGTTGTTAAATTTGTCAATGCAACCCTCTGTTGGCCTTTAGTATTCTTACCACCAATTTCAAATTAATAAACGGCCCATTTAAAAGCTGAGCTGTCAAGTCACAGTTGAGTCTGGCTATGGCAATGGAGATGCCAATATCTGGATTATGGATAAAGAGGGCTGCAGAATCAAAACATCCAACAAGAACTAAATTACACATCTCTTTCTTTAAGCCACTAAAATAGGAGATACCAGCCTGTGGTACAATGAAAACGTAAATTCACAAGACACACTCACACACAAAAAAAAAAAGAAAAAAAAAGAAAAAAAAGACAGCCAAGCCTCGCCACTAATAATACTACTATGGAAAAAATCTGTCAAACTAGATGCTGTCCCTTGCATCTCCTGTCTGCCAAGCTCAAAACTTTGCATGATCAGAGACAGAAGTTAGTGAAAAGTGGAAAGGACACATACAGGAGCAAAATAAAGGGTTAAGAGTTTCCAGGTGTAACTTTAAGGTATTTCATTGCTGTCATACAGCATAGCAAAATCTATCTCAGTAGACCCTGTTTGCCTAGAGATAAGCCTGTATTTTCCCCATGGCTGAGCTGGAGTCTGAATAGAATACCCTATGTTTGCTTTCCTCAGTGAAATGGCGCCATTCACTTTAGGAATATTTAGCAGTTCTAGGGGGTTTCTGTTTTTAATGTCTACCTCACCCATACTATTTTTCATCCAAATAACCAAAACCTTTTTTCAAATATTTCTAACGTTTTCAAAATAAACAGCTCTGTGATTTGCAGGCATGAAATCAGCAAGATTCTCCAAGACGTTTGGGAGGAGTATGGGTTGATCGTTAAGTTTTCTTTCTTTTCCTTCTGTCTGCAAACAATATCCATAAATCCATAAGAATGTGGGATTATCATTTAAGTAGATATACAATATGATGTATATTTAAGCCTAAGGAAAAACAAGTGTGCAGCTGCAAACAGTCCTCATTTTGTAATCACGCTTTTTTATCATGCATCTCTGAACATCCATGCCACCTTGAACCCTCTTCCAAAAGACTAGCCCCATTCTTAAACATCATTAATTTCTTTATTACTTCTTGCAACTTAATAGAAACGAAGAAATTAAAACTTAGATGCATTCTTCAAATCCTAGAGGAAGAAATCAGTTTTTCAAAACAATCTGATAAAGGAAGATCAAGGCAAAATCTTGATACTGTCTTGAAATGGAATTAAATTACTAATATAGTCTTTTTTTCCCCCCTAAATATCTTACCCACAGCTGCCACTTATTGTAAGGTTTGCAGTTCTAACAGTGTTTAACATTACACGTTGATATGGCTGAATCCCACTGGTTCTGCTGTAACATGGATACATGCATTACTCCAAGAGTCTGAAGTACATATTTTGCCTTCCTCTGGCTGTTCATTCTCTCAAAACCAGAGTGCTGAATACAGCCAAATGTTGCCCATGTAGCTGTAAATGAGCCATACATCCACTTTATTGTGATTCCCAGGATTTCCACTAGGAATGAAATAATAATTCTTTGAGAAATTAAAATTACTTTTTAGCTGCTAATTTAAACCAGGTTATTCTTTTTCATCTGATGATTATTGTCAAGAACCTTAGCCTTCCATTACAGTAAGGTCAGGGAATTTAGAAGAGCATTAAAAAATACCTATTAATACCCACCTAGCACCAGCTGGTCATAAGGTTCCCTGATATATTCCCTCAAGTCACACAATACTTGATTAAAAAAAAAAGTTTGCCTCTGAGTAAAAAATAAAATCTAGTGCAGCTATTAATGTGTACTAATTAGCATGGATGACTTCAGAGCTGTGTATCTAATCTCTCAATCAGGCCTGGATGCCTTTCTAAAAGCCTTACAGCAGGAAGACGTCACAGACTTTTTTCAGTAATTGCTTTGTGCAGTTAAGAACTTCCAGGACTGAATGAACAGGACAGGCTGCTGCCTTTCGTAACCATCATGTTCTGTCTGTAACTAAAATTTATTCATTTAGAAATCACAGCTTCATCCAGTGCACTAATTCTCAAGGGAACAACCTTTCCTGACACATTGGGCTTTGAATCAGGCCCTTTTGGAAAAACAAATATTCCTACGTTCTAAACAAAGAGAGAGGAGAATAAAAGCAGTTCTATAGCAGTTTTACAGCAGTTTATTAAAAAAAAAAAGGAGATTCCAATACAAAAGCAGTTCCATGGTATTCAAATCTCCCTATTGCCAGAACAAGCTGGAGGGTAAAAAAAATGAAGAGTCCTTGCCAGAGACAACCAGAGACATTAGAAAACAACTGTGAAAAATGTAGATGTCAAACAGATTAAATAACTTCATCCAAAATACAGACTTGAGACACAAAGTTTTAAGACAAGGGTTTCATTTGTCTGTGCATCACCCAAATCTACCATTGTAAATGTTGGAGAAGCCATTTCTCTCTTTTTCTGGAGGGCGGGGTAGAAGCAGTGAAGATTTCCTTGCAATTTTCACAGAATCCTGGCCTGCAAATAAAAAGGGAAGGAAGTGATTGTCCTTGTTTTTTCAACTCAAGTTAAGATGGAAGTTGTTCAACTGTTCAACATCCACATCCAATCTAAATCCGACACACCCTCAGGGCTCCAGAAGTGCCCCCGCTCTGTGCCCCGAGGCAAGCTGGCAGTATTGCCTCTCGCTTCACTGGAAGCTGGGCTCAGTCCCAGGCTGATGAGGCTCTTTCACTGGCAAGCAGAATGTTTTGAGAGAACTTGCCTCAGGCCTTGACCTTATGGTAGGTTGCTGTTACGGTAAATTGGTAAATTCCTACAAGAGGCACTTCCTTGCCCGCTTGCCCCAGGCCCTCGGCGGCACCTGCAGCTCCCCTGCCCTGGCAGACCTGCACTGGCCGGGAGGCTTCACGCTGCAGAGGCCCTGCCACCCCACCTGCTCTGCCCTCCCGACATTTCCCACTTACGTGACAGAACTAACCCTACTCTGTGTGTGTTTGTGCAGGTATACAAATATATATATGTGTGTGTGTGCATGTGGGTGCACATGCGTGCTTTGGGGGGCTGCTGCTTTTCTGATTAAAAATCTTTCTTGAACATGCTGTCATCACTGAGATTGTTGGTGACATAAAACCCCTGAGGGCTCCTTGATCCCAGTGCAGAGGGACAGGGAGGGGTAAGCGTGTCTAATTTCACCCTACCTCCAAAGCTGGGGAAACTGAATGCCACATTAAACCACACCACTTCATACCAGCGTGCAGGTTAGCAGCATCAGTCATTTGAGCTCTGTGGTTCCAACTAATTCTTCTGCCCAAAGCAAAGCAGAGCTCTCTCAGTTATTGTTTCAATGACCTACTGAATACACAGTAAAAACTGATGCCTAGATCATGACTGTTACTTATTACCTCTTGCATCTTCTTCTGTTTGCAGTGAAACTCATGGATTGCTAAGAATGACCTTAAACCCAAACTATTCTATGACTATATGAAATTGAATGCCAGAAGAAAGGTGCTCAGAAACCTCCGCTGACATAGGAATAATGGACTCAGCATCGGTGCTGAATTCCCAGCCACGTTCTTTTCTCCTCAATGCTAGCCTTAAAGGTCAGAGCAGTCACCAGTCCCTGTATACCACAAGGAATTAGTGGATGAATCAAACACAATAGATTTATTATCAGTACATATCGTCTGGTAATAAAAATACAGTAGCATAGCAAATGCATAAGCCCAAAGGGTAGGTCCTCAACTGAAATAAGTTGCTGAAGATAAACTGACTTGGAGATGCTGAAGAAATTACCTCAGATATTTTACCTGGACAAAAACAGAATAGGTCCCACAGAGAGTCCGTTTCAGCTCAGCAGCTACTTTGAGAGAACAGATGATCAACTGCAGTCCACTAAGCGCTATCAGAACAGAGAGTAAAATGATGTTCCACTCCACTATGTTAGCAGGTTCGGTGCACCGAGACCAAGCAGAGTAATCTGTGAGGTACCTATCAGAGAAACAGTAATGTGAATAAATTAAATGTGGTAGGTGAAATTCAACTTAAATACACATTTTTTTTTACTTATAATATATAGAAAAACCATATCAGGCTTTATACGCTTCAAGTTTAGGAGCCAGACTTTAGTCTTTCATTACATCAGCATAACTCCTGCATAGGTTTGTCAACCTCAGCTGAGTAAAAAGACTTTATTTTCCTCAAATACATTTGCTTCATTAGTTTCCCTGTTAGACACTCAAGTGTTAGACACTGCCATTTTTTCAAATAGCAGAAGCCAAGTTTAAAATAGGAATTTTCCTTTTATTGATTTTATTTCAGCTTTAGGTTAAGTCCAGCTGACATCAGACCACGCAGAGAGCAGGAACACATGAACACCATCATTCTCACCAGTGCACACAGACTAAATGGCAGAGGTAAGTGTCACTGCATGCAATTTCCAGTTGTTCCAGAGCCATGCTTTGCATCCTTGAGGATCATACTGTGCACAACTGACACATGCCAGCTGTGCCCTTTTAACTGTGAGACGTTATAGCCTGCAGGTTAATTGCATGAACCTTTGTTAGACTCATTTCCTGAGTGTCAGTAACTTTTTCTTCTGAACAGTCATAACGTAAATGCTTTGAGCCAAATCTGGAGTGCATTATTCAGCATTTGGCTCTTTATGTTGAACTCAAACTCTCATTTTTTTATTTCCAAATGGGATGGTAATGCTGGTGATACATAGCAGAGATTGCAGGATGTACTTCAGTGTTTTAAAATAAAGCTGACAAGTCAGAGAAAGCCATAGGAGCTATTCCTGTTGGATGCTGAAGGAACTTGTTTGTGATCCTCTGACAAATTTAATCTTTAGTGCATTCAAATACAGCTGGAAGAGCTTGACATTATATGACTTAAATATTTAAGTCTTATAAAACTTTGATCTTTTAAAGGGATGTAAAATCTTGTGAAAGCAGCCTCAGGTTACAGATCTGAATCAAATCTTTCATGCCTCTAGGAGGCTGGGCATGAAACACTACCTCGCTTAGGTGTTTTATGAAATACAGCAGCTGTATGCAAAAACTACCAGTGATCAAACCACACACTTCGTTGAGCTTTAGGAGTTAAAGAGAAATTTACTGAGTTATTACATATAAAAATGCCATCCATAATCTTTGAACAAAAAACTTGAGGAATTTGAGAGAATGTTCCGAGAAAGTAGCCATCTACGCTCACTCTAATCTTATATTCTTTACTATACGTGATTGTGACCACCACCAGACAAAGGACACTTAGCTAGATGGACCTCCAGGTCTGGTCAGTACAAAGATTCTTACATTTAATCTTTCCTTACATGGAGGCAAATACCTTTCTTTCAGGATTTTGGTGTTCATTCAAGAAGTTGAAAAACCTCACTCTCCAGTATCTTGTCTTGATTTCAAGAGACACTGCCATTTTGTGTAAAACTCTGAGAGAATTTTTCTGACTATTGTTTTGATGAACACTTTCTTCCAGAAGAGTTACACTGATGTTTCTTACCCTCCAGCAGTGTCTTTGAAGATATAATCCCATCCACCTGATGAATTGCAGAAGGGGCCTTGGATCAACCCCAAGGTAAAAATGATGCAACTGTATGCAGAGAAAGCAACTCCAAGCAGGGCTAGGACAATTGAAATAAAACTCTGAAGTAAAGAGAGAAAAATATTACTGTGTGGGGACAGTGTCCACAGCAAATACAGTCATTCAGCCTGCCTAGCTACTTCCTTGGGGTTGAATTTCACATTTGATTGTCCCAATCTTCAATATTCAGAAAGAAAAATACCAGGCAAAGAATAGTAAGCATACACATGCAAAACAAAGATTAAGACAGAGTTTAAGGCAGTTTCACAACTCTCAGTTAAATATTGTTTGGGGATTATTATTTTTTTAAAACCTGCATTTTTGCAAAATTTGCAAAAACCTGCATTTTTCCCAAAATACTAGAGGAACACAACCATGCATTAAACATGTTTACATCCCAGATATCGTATATTGAGTTGTTACTGGAAAAAATAACTTCTAAATAATACAAGCAAGGGGATGAAGCTATTAAGTTGGGGTTGAAACTCTCAGGCCTTCTATGCTCTTATTTACTTTAAAAGGATTTTTTGGTGGGGTTTTTTGCTGTTTATTTTTCTTATGCATCCTGCGTAAGAAAATTTTTCTTATGCATCCTGCTTATGCATCAGAAGGAAGGAGCTACACTTTCTGTGACCTCTCAACCCGCCTTAGAATCCTCCTCTGTGAAAGAAGCAGAAACAGAGCAGTGGAGAGGGCAGACGGATGTGCTGGAAGCATGGGAGCAGGAAGGCACTCAGAACAAATGCTAAAGAGATGTACAAAAATAGAACACAGACTCACCCTGTAGGTTTTGTTACAGCTCTCACTCTGGCAGCATCGATAGAACACGCTGCACTCCAGTGTTATTAGAATTATTGCCAACAGAAGGATCTATAAGGGGACATTATAACATCAGTGAAATTACTACAGATATTAAGCCAAAGTTTCCTTCACCTGTGGAGGGTAGGGACTGCATCTGTTATGCTCTGTTGAGATTTTAAAGCTGCTCAGTAGGAAAGCACCATTACTCAACGTGCACCATGGAACTGAACTGTTTTTATTAGGCTGTCACTGTACTGGCTTCTTGTACTTGAAAGACAAGAGTAAAGTGTCTCCTATCACAGCAAAGCGTTACTAGCATGGACACGGCTACATCAGTGAAGCTGAAAGAATAATACCAAGCTCCCAAGAAAAAGAATCAATAGTAATGAAAGGAAAGATACTTTATTGATACAACCACATAGGTTCAACAGCTTCTTGCTGACAGTTACACAGATCAGGGTGTCACTTTCCTTACCAGCACAGTTATGCTGGAAGAATCCAGTAGTACAAGCTTTTGTTAAATTCACCTGAACTTTCATTTGTTTTCTCTGTCAAGTATCCATACTGTTGTTCTCAGACTATGGGTCACAGCACTATCCTCTCACATGCTGCTGCCCTGTTTCTAACAGGATAATATACACATTTTTAATAAATTTGTAATGATCCTAAGGCTAAATATGCTTCAAAATATGAATGTCACTGTTGCAGTTAACTTTTTCCCAAGTTTTCAGCTATGCTTTTCTGTCCAAATTCTCTGCCTGATAGTTTTTCCCTCCACTAGAAAAGGTTGGGTTTTTCTGCTTTAGGAAGAATACACAGTTTCAGAAAACTGTCTCATGCTTTAATAACTCTCACAGTTCAGCACCTTCATAAAAGCACCTTACTTATGCAGATGAGACTTTTTTAAATTGGTGTGCATGCACTTTCATAACATAACTGCTTTCTGTCCCTGAGGCTACAGTTCTTTATGAACATAGTGAACAGTATGAGCGGTGGGCAACTCTGTGTTAGTTTGTTACTGCAGATGAGCATATTACAAATGTAATGGAGAAAATCCTACTATGCCAATCACAGTGAGACAATCTTCTTTATTTAGCCTAACAACAGTGGCGCTTGATGCATTGTGAACCATATCCAGTCCTCTAAATACCGCGTACAGCTCTGAAAAGCATCTGAACAGTTATGAGAAGCCTTTTATGGTTTTGTTTCATTTTGTTTTGCTAAAAGAGCTCCAATTCAACCTCCATAGAGGATTAAATCAACATAGTACCTGCCTCCATAATACAAGCATAAATTATGCATAAACAAAAAGCCAGCAGGAAAAAAAAAACCACAACCCTGCAAAGTCACTTACATGAAATTAAAAAGTATACATAGCATGTCATTCAGTATATTTACTTTTTTTCAGTTTGATTGAGTTTTTGTGCCTGCAGTGTTTTTGCGCCTGCAGTGTTTTTGCCAAAGCAATCCATATTCTCTTTAAAAGTGCAATTAGCACAATTACATTGCTGCCCAGTAACCCAATATTATTTGCAGTAGAATGTAATTCATTAAAAATCTATAGAATCAACACTTACCATCACACCTGAGAAACAGATCCCTTCAAAATACCACACGTAGTTGGGAAGCTGGTAACTGGCAGCATGTGAAGCTTTCCCATTAGGGAAGTATAATAGGATGTTAACAACAATACTCCAAAGTGCAAGAGGTATCAGCAGACAACTCAAACAGCTTCCACATGTCTCTAAAGCCATCTCTCAAGACCTTTAAAAGTTTTGCTCTTCTACGCTAACAAGAGAGTACAAGGTTTTAAATACGAAAAGTGTTTTGACCTCCTCAGTTTGATTCGGTCATTTCACATTCACAGGAACCAAGTGACTGAGGTATGATTCCAGAGATAGAGAAGTGCTTAACAGTTAGCAGAACAATAGATGAATATTGCTGTCTAAACTCATTGTCCCTTCTAAGCATGTGTCTTGAAGTAGCAGTTTCCCTTCTAAAAGATCCTCCTTTGTGATCTTCCAACTGAAATACATCTAGAAGTCAGACTCAGGAAGGAACTTCAAAAATCTCATTTCCTAGTGACTGCTTAGAAACACGCTCCTCCCGAGAACACGGATTACGATGCGGATATGCTGTGACACAAGGCAGATTGCTCAGTTTTACTGCAGCTCAAATTTTTTTCTACCTTACATGGGGAAGGGGGCTGCCAAATGATAAATATGTCTGGTCTCTGTACAGAAGGCCGCACGTTAACTCACAGTACCAGAGACTTAATACCAGAACTTGGCAGATACGGGCCCTAAGCGTGAACCAACCCTTGCTGCTAATGTGGAGCAGTCTCACAAAACCACCAAGCAGCATCTCAGCCACCTTGCAGAGGGTACAGAAGCCCAAATAACACTGGTTAGAAACTGCCATCCAGACTTACTGTCAAATTAATTACTCTTTTCTGCAGCATTATACAGCTCAATAGTTTTATGAATTAAATCCTGCTATTTCTCCAGTTGCTTTATTCTGTGCTTACCACTGAGCGTGCATAGCTACAGATATGACCTAAGTACACATGACTTCTTGTACAGGACAAAAGGTCTGGCTGTTTTTCAAAATGCCTGCTGTTTTGCACTGTGCAAAGCCAAAGCCAGACAGTTTCTCCATTTTTGTGTGTCGTCATTCCCTAAGCAATTAAACATCCATCCCAGTAACACAGAGACAGAGCTGTTTGCTCACAGCACAACCCAAGCCTTCTTTCCATGTCCCTGTGAGTCATCAGAAAAGTAACTCAAGAATGAGCTTAGGGTTTACTCAATGGGAAAGTCACAGTCAGAGAATAAAAAAAATTGGGGCTCTACCAAAAGTGAGAAGGCCGATTTTAGAAGCAATTATGTCATGGCATATTTTCCTTCTGTTTCCTCATGAGCTGTTTTAGGCTCTGCACACAGAAGGCTTCTCTCATAAAAGCTGTTTAGGTTGCATGTTGTAACTAATTCCTTCCTATTGCTTTGAATGAGATCACCCAAGGAAATGGGCATGGTGGTACTCATGCAATCACACCATTTTTCTACCCGTTCTCTGCTGTGACTCACTTGTTTCCCTCTCCCCTTCTTTTCCTAGGAGGTTTCATTTTTAAGTCCTCAGACTTTACCCTGAGGATCTTCCCATATTTCCTGTTTTACTCCCTAATCACTACAGACAGTTTTTTCAGGCCTCCCTCCAATCGAAATTAGTGGCAAACCTCCCTTTGCAGGCACACAGGCAGGGACAGAACTCCTGTCATCAACGCTGCGCCTTACAGATCAAAGAAAACAGCTGAAAGGCATGCACATCACATCCCCAGGACTGAAGTTTTTACAAAACTCAGAGATCATGAAATAGGCTGAAATCCTTTTTTTCTAAAAGCAAAGGCCAAAATTACTAGCAAGCAGCTTAGTTTATAATCAGATTTGCTGCAACTTCCTATAGTAATCTGTTCTAATTAGAAGAAACTTACTTGGAAAATGACACCTGAAGCAGCATTCATTCTGCAGTGTAGCAGTCTGCATGCCTTATTTTGTATTTAAATTTAGCTCTGCAAATACCAAATCAAGGTGTGGTTTTTTTTGCTGGCACACTGTACTGCTAGAACAGAAAGCACTCATTTTATACTAAGTATTAAGCAAACCTGGCAACCAGTTTCTCAAATATCTTACCAAGTGTTGCAAGAACTGTTTTCCTGTTGCTGTCAATATCCATGAGCTGGATGCTGGGCCCATTACCGAAAAGCCATGTTTACTCTGGATGAGTGACTTCTCTGCCAACTGAAATGAATTTAACCTAAAACAACCGCTTCCCTACAGTGTAACTGATAAAACTCCCAAAACACAGTCTTATGCATCAGGCAACAAAGGAATTTAACTGATCTTTTTGTAAGTGACAACATGAACAGCAAGTAGTAAAGCTGTGCATTAGTGCTATATGGATCTGAGCTAAAGTTTTAATTCTAAACTCTAGCCTAATCATTCTGTCCATTGGAATTTCTAAAATTGTTTCAGTTCTTTAATTAGTTGTGCGTACCAGAAAGACAAATAGCAGTTATGCAAACATAAAGGCAAAAATCTGTAAGTTGCATGGGAATTATACCCTATTCCTTTGAGATTTACGTGTATGAATACATGGTATTGCAAAAAGCAGATATCCTGAGATTCTAAACACAAACTTTTCCCATCTGTGAGTTCTTTTGTTGTTGTGGATGGGTGTATGCAATTTCATTTTCATCAGTAGCATACTGACCTTGCAAGCAATGCTGTTGGCAGCATATAATTCATTTACTCTACCTTGTGATAAAACATGCACTGTAATATGCTACAAGCCACACTTCAGAGGTTCTTGCACCAGATCTTGGAATATTGCCTCCAGGCTCCTTACTGGGGAAGTCAAATATTTCAGATTAATCTACCGCTGGTGACCTGCATTTGCACTGTATTTTCTGAACACTGCTATGCGTGGGGGTCTGCTGAGTGAGGTAAAAAATAGGATCCAGACCTCATTTTGTTTTGTCTAAAGACTCTGACTAAGCAGTCAGGAGGTAAGCCCCCCTTGGGAGAGCAGCAGAAGGGACACAGAGCTGTGGCTCAACTGTTCAACTGCGTGGGGACCTCCCTCCAGTCCTTGGAACGACCATCAGCAATGAACTGCTAGCCCAGGCTCAGGACTAAGGCTCCACATATGCAGTCGTGTCTGTCACAGAGCTGTCGCTGAACTATCATATCCTTGTTGATGCACAATTGCCCGGCTCAGCTAAATGATCTAAACCAAATAGTGAAGCAGTTGCCACTCTGACAGAGCCTGCTGGAGAGGAAAGGAAAAGTAGATTATAACCTGACTGTTTTATATCCACATTCTCATGCCTCTGCTGTCCTTTACTCTAAGACAAGGAAAGCAGTGCTTCAGCATGGGCAGGAAAAGAATGACTGACACCTGCTGGGTATTTTTATTAAAAATCTTTATTTGTGAAACATAGGAGAAGTTCAGAAAAATTCTGAAAAGGTGAAGTGCATGTATCTGCCCTCAATCATCCACATTTTACTACTGCTTTGTTTTTGCTCCAGCTGGCCAAACTAGATTGGATTTGTGTTCATTCCAACATCAGAATGAAAGTGCAACTTTACTGGGAAAGCAGCATGAAGTACAGAGCTGTTGTGTCAATAGAAAGAAAAAAGTTATCTTTAGTGTTCAGGCAGTTGCCCATTCTAAGATGAATCAAACCAAAGAAATTCAGGATACATTTTGCCTTTAGATCAGGCAGGTTAGTTGAAAACCTGCATGTGACTCCAACAACAAAGGCTGGCCCCAAGTCAGTTAAATTGATAATAGCACAGTTTGACAACAATGTGCATTTTTAGTATGCATGGAACATTGAAAAAACCCAACAAACCAAACACAGAATACTCAATACACCATACACATGTACCGACATCAATGCATTGTCAGGTTTCTAGCAAGCGTATGTCTGTGGGGGGGAACAAAAAGAAACAAAACACATATTAGGGAGAAGAATGCTAATATTGTATCCAACTATAAGTGCTAAATTAATCTGATCACATTTAGATTTATACTGCAGTTACAGCATGGAAGACAGGAGTGAGAAGACAGTAATAGCTTTGAAAGAGCCCCAACATTCAACTATGTCAATGAAACACATTCTTAGCCATAATGTGTGTGATATTATTTATACCTGGTTTATACCTTAAGCCATTGCAATTCCAACACTACCACCTCAATGCTGATTTTAACATGCTCAAGCTGTTTAACAAGACTCTAAAGAAATTTGGAGGAAATTCCTCTTCCTCACTGAAACCCCCCCACACCTTTAAAAAACCTTTCAGCTCTGTCTGCAGGTTTTGTTACCTATGTGCAATTTAATTCCTTCTCTTATCCCACTTTTACTATGCAAGGCCAGGATGCTGCAGTTTTCATTACATACAGCATGTTCTCAGTAGCCTTTCAGCTGCTGTGAGCAAAAATACAAGGCTAAAGCAACATACTGAGAACAGCCTGCCACCAAACTGCACCACACTATGAAACAATGGTTTAGGCTATGGCAAAGACCACCACCAAAAGATCTGTATTTCAGTTATATCACCTATATAGTGCTGATGACCACACGTGCCATAGCAGGGGAAAAAAGCCTTCCAGCTCCTATGCAGACTAACTTCACTGAGACAGCTGAGGAATCAGCTGAAAGCATGTGGTCAAAGACTATGATAAAATGCTGAACACAACAGGGCTATAAAAAGAAGTTGTATGCTGAATTGTTGCTTAAGAATACCAATAAAATAGCTGCTGAGTAAGACTCCACAATAGCATCAGTAACAATAGTGTTTCATGTTCATCTGAAAAGCATGGTTATAACTTCAAATGGCTTACCTCTTCATGACTGCAGCACAACCCACATAGTCCTCCAAGAATGCCATTGATTATCTGTATGAAGCACAGAATGAACTCTATTCCTCCCAGGACAAGGAGGATGGAAAAGAGGGTGGTGTTCCACTGCACGATGTTTTGAGGTTCTTGACATTGAGACCACTTGTTATACTCAAACAAGTACCTGTACACAGCAAGTAAAAGCATATTAACATTGTGACAGAGTGGGATGCTTACCATACACTAGAAACAGATTACATCTAGTCTGTAAATGCATTGAGGATAACAACTTTTAAGTGGGAATAGAAAAGGCAATGGTTTATTCCATGCAAGGTTTGCTCTGTTTAAGAATGTGTTGAACTATTGACCATACATTTTTGTTAAGTCTTAATTTCTTTAAAAAAAAATACCTAAACTATAAATTCAAAACCTTCTGTTACTGATTAAAGCAAGACACAAGCTCAAGAAAGCTGAAAGAGCAAAGCTATTTCTCAAAAGAACCATGGAGCCTTTCAGAACTGGGCCTTTATTCTAAAGACAGCAATTACTGATCTGAAGCCAACGGGTCACTTCCTCACTTGTGCTGCTGTCTTTGGGCCCTCACTTGCCCGCTCTGGAAGAACCTAACACAGAACAAATTTAGAGGGGTACTGCAGTATTCCAGCTGCTACTCCTCACCCACATCGTCAGAACATCAGCACTGATGACCCTTCAGCAAGGGCTTAACTCAGTTCTTCTATATTCAGTCATAGTCTGGGGGGGGGAGGGGGGGAGGAATGCCCCCCCTTGGGAGACATGCAACTGAAATGTAAAATTCAAACTCTTTGCTGCAAAGGATCTTTATGTGGCTTCTTAGTACTCAAACTGTCTCTAGTCTGGCATCAGCCGTAAACTGTTACTAGAAACAGCATCAAGGTTGCCAACCATTCAGACACTGTAAAAGCATGTCATGAGTCAAAACAAAACCTCTTCCAACCTACAGGATTTGTGGGGATTAATGGGGAATAGCATACCACTCAGCTACACAGGCTTGGTTTGCTGGAGAACCCTAATTAAGGATAATTAAGAGCTTCTGGCCCTCCCTGCCCTATAGCATACAAAGATTCTTTATAAACCCTTTCTAGTTTCATTGCCACTAATGAAGGTATTATGCCAGTTTACACTGACACAAAGCAACTTCAGAAGCAAGCCTCACAAAACAGATTCTTAACAAATGATAAGACAAATTTCTAACCACCACTATTCATAGCTTGTAAATCCCTCAAAGTTCTAAAACTTTATGTTAGAGATGTTCATGGACATGGACAGTATGTGGTATACAGATATTATTACCAACATATATATATTTATATGTTCAGATTCCTTTTTGTAAGACAGAAGATTTATATTGCTTTGGTTTTAAACTATAGCAGCATGGGTAACTGATGCCATCTGTTTAGCTTTTCATGAGTGAAAAGCATAAACTTATGAACAGATCTTGCTATATGGTTACCGGATATTGCTGAAAGGTGCTGGAATAAAGACCATGTGTCCATGGGGGAAGACATAACACCCTCATGAACAGACAACTTACCCTCCAGAGGATTCAGTGAAAGGATAGATCCAGTTTCTTTCTAGGTGAGTAAAACAATATGGTCCGTGAGACAAGCCCAATGCTGAAATGATTACACAGTATCCAGAACCAAGGATCCCAACAAAGGCTGCCAGAACTGAGGACAGCATCTGCACAGCAAACACAGACATGAACTTTCAAACACAGCCATCACCTTGTCTTTGGGATTACCTGGGACCGGAGCGTAAAGGCTCACTTACCGCACAGCTTTTCCCACAGTCCTCATGGCCAAAGCACCCACAGCAGTCATCATTGTGAAGCCCAATGAACACTGCAGCTGGAATGAGTACCTAGGTATGGAGAAAACAAACCACACTGTTCTGTTTTGTTGCACAGACAGGGCAGACAAAACACAGTCCTCACATTACATTAATTTATATTGCTTCTTGGCAGGGGAGTGGGGGGCAGCCTGTATAGATTATTCAGTGCACGTAAGTGCATAAAGAGCCAGTCAGTAAAGAGCCTGCTGTGATATTGCACAATTTAAAATACTACAACTTTAAAAGGTTTTGTTCACATTAAAGGCTGTATCCTGCAAATAAAATGCTTTGCAAAAAAATGCATTCACTTTCTCCCAAATGAGGACTACAAGATAAGTGTCTCAATTATCTTGTTAAAAAAAACCCAAACAACTACTACCAACCATAGTTACTGTGCGACAAACCAGTCTGAGTAGAGTAGAAAGTCTAGGGATATTTTGCCCAATTCAGGCAAACATCTCATTACAGACATGCAGCTTTTTCTAGGTTTTCACAACCAGATTCCAGTGACAGAAATGCAAAGTAACAAAGCAGAAGCTATCTGTAAGAAATATAAATCATCCATACCAGAGCTTTTAGCATAAAAGCAAGAAAGAGCAGAGTTGATTAAAAAGAGCATCCTCCCCACCAGCACTAACAGGACTTGATAATAGTTTGCACTTATAAAGACTCTACACTCAGGAGTACCTCAGAAAACCATAAAGAGCAAAATGTTATCTGCAAACTGCGCAGATTTACTTAACAAAAAACTAAAATAAAAACTATTCAGTTGAACACCCACATACTTGTCAACCTTTACTCAAACCTATTGCTGATCCCTAATCCTGCAGGTCCAGAAGAGGTTGTACAAGTGTGTTCCAGGAACAGTTCCATCGATTTCACTTGTATTATTCTGTGTGTAACGTCCAGTCTTTGCAAATCCCAGTCTAGGTTCCAATGGGGCTGTAACATAGCTGTAAGCACGTCTCAAGATAGAGGGCCTTATTGTGCAATCATTTTCAACCTGTGATTTGCAGACACTTTGAGATCTGTAGTCTATTTCTAAGAGGACTTTTAAAAGCAAATGAAAAAGGAAGCCCGGAGTCAGGGAACTTAATTATGTTACCATATGGTTGACAAAATTGAAAAGGTAGAAAATAATAGCTTCAGATTAACAATGTCTTACAATGAACACACTCAATTCTTCATCCTTTGCTGTTACTCAAATGCAAAGCTTTGATAACTGCCACTCGATTCCTCTGAATAAAGAACTAAGGCAGAGAAGTAACTGCCAACATCTCAGATAGTAGAAATTAAGGAATTGTAACTAAATTATAATTATCTAGGGACATTTAAAAGGGGAATAGTTCAATAATATAACAAAAATGTATGATTTAACCCTTTACACAAACTGTGACCTGCTGAGAGGCTTGGTTCCTGTTTTGCATTTGAATTCTGTGACCTAGAATCTATGATTTTCTCAGCTTTAAAGTGACATAATATTACAGATAAGATAACAAATAATAACTAATGATACCTATGGGTAATACGGCTAATTTCTTTTGATAC